ATCTCCACCATGTACTTAGAGCCAGCACAAGTAATTTTAATGTGGAAATCTAAAAAATAATAAACAATATTCAACAACAAAAATCACATTAAGCCTATTAAGCAGTTGTAATTTCCATACTTCATGTACTACATGTTCTATTAATTTGTCTGGCCCGCGAACTTTTTTTAATTTATGAATGTGACCCGGGAGTCTAAAAAGGTTGCCGACCACTGCTCTAATGTAATACGACCCTAGTTACCCACAAATAAGAAACATTGGTAACTAAGATATAGCTCACGACACGCTAAAAAAGGACGGACATATTTCGTACATGGGTACACCACTTTTGTTGGTGGAATGTTGGGAAGGTAGGATACAGACGAGAATTTAATGTATATCTGTAAGCAAAGATTGGAACGATGCTTCACAAAAATTGAAAAATATACATTAATTCCGCTATTTGTTCTAAGCATTTTACTGATGATCAACTCGTTACACAATGGACATCTGGAATTGGCAACAAACAAGTCGTTTTAAGTATCTACCCAATATTTAAATATTATACATTTTTTTTAATAATACATAATATTTTAATAAGTGGTATACCAAATTGTTAATTTATTTATTGTTTGCTAGATAATAGATATTATATTAGATGCTAAGCTGCGTCCACACTAGTAGAAATGGACATACATCGATTCTGCCAAAATAACCATTTTGCTTGTGAAAAATGTATTGATTTCACCCAACTTTTTACAAGTTGACTCTTTTATCATAGATTACGGTATGGAACCGATGCGATGATATCCAAACTTTATTGAAATAAATATATAATATATTTGTATTCATGTAATGCATATATTATAAGTATATACTATTTATATAAACCCACGACTGTCCGTTTCTTTTTTACACTTTAGTGTATGTGAACATTATACATTTTGGTCAGATTTAGTGGCTTCCGTTCACAAAAATTTCGACATTCACCTCCTATTATACCTATGTTAGGGGTGGAATTTTCAAAAAATCGTTCCCAAGTGAATCAATTAATGAGTTTCTTTGTAAATTGTAATTTATTCAACAAAATTCAGTATTCGAGGTTTTAGATCAATTTACTCTATTTACATTAATTCGTGGTCAGTAGCCGGCGGAAATAATATGTACAAAGGTATTTAAATGTAATCATAAATTATCGTACTAATATGTCCACTGGAATCGATAGCAGACGGAATTGATAAATTTCCGTAAAAATTTTACATTATGCGTCGCATTCGACACAAATTTGTTCGTGAGGTACTTAATGTGTACGTGTGTGGACGTATTCACCGCATAACAGCACACACAAATATTTTCGGCGAATTAGGTTGCGAGTTTATTTGCATCACAACATAAATTTACGTCGCAATATTTTTCTGGCGTGAACGTATTTTTGCATGTGTTTTTCTATTCAAAATGATCATAAATAGTGGCGGTAGTAAGGTGATAAAACCATTTTCAAAAGAAGAACAATTGAAAACCAGCAGCAGCTGTATAATAAGCAGAGTCTACGACATTTCTTAAACAGAAATTGGTTAAATAGTTTAGGCTCATAATTCCGGAGACTCGGATAAAGTGTAATAAAGTGTAACAAGCTTAAGGTAAGTCTATTTTGTAAAATAGGACGAACCAAATATTTTCGTTATATTTGTCTATGACTATACGTTATAGCATTCATACAAAAATTGCATCTGCAATCGTCCACGTTTGACGTACAACAGTCAACAATCTACTGACTAAGGTAATAACGCACGATTAACGCGTAAAATCGGTAACCACGTGAACGCGATCGACGCTCTACACGTGTACTAGCCATTACGGCTCATTTATTACGATGAAGTATTACCTTATAGGCGCACAGAGACGTTCAGCAGTAGACGGTTACTCTCGGAATGACGATTTGTCTAGTGCGTATTCTGTATTTATGTCGTTATCGTCGTTCGTCGTCCGACTTTTATGCCGCGGCAGCGAATCGGGAGTGGGGACACAAGCGACTCGCTCTAACAATTGCGTCGCGCCGCCGGTTTCCGATCTAATATTATTTGGTACCTACAGTTGTGCAAGAAATTCTCGAATGCGCGGTACGAGTAATATGAAAATTCTTTCGGCAGAAAGAAAAAAATATTTTATATAATGCGGAATGTTTACAGGGCTTTCATATTATAATATAAATTTCAATTTGCAATACAAATTAAAATAACATGTTTAACAAAACTGTAAAACATCGATATTGCTACGTTTATTATTTTTTTTTTAATCATCTAAGCCACACCTAAACTACCACTTATGTATTCATCCATTATCATGTCTTCTCTCGTTGACTTAGGTTAGATCAAGTATTCTTAGGTATATTGGGAGAACAAAATAACACCAAGTATCAATGCTTTTACTATGGGTGGTGGGTTACCCCATTAGACCGATGTGGGACTCATATTTTGATAAAACACTGATTATGATGTGACGAAATAATGAAATATGAGACTGGTATATGATAGTAGTGCAATGCTGTAATGGACTCTAGAAAGAAAGAAATGGAGAGGCTTACTAGTGGCATCCCAGGTCCTGAATGGACCGTTAAACTGTTAAAAGAAGAAGTAAACAGTATAATCAGGAATCTAAACAGAATAGTTTAAAATATGTCAATGTTAACATTTATTATAAATGTTATTTGTACCTATATAGTAGGTATATAATTAAATTTGAATGATAAGATTCATATATAAATAATTAACTATAAGAGGAATCAGTTAAGCACTGACCCACTAGTTCAAATACTAACAAAATGTTCAAATTTAATTCAATACCTTGTATTCAATAATCAAAATTATTTGAATTATACAAAAACTTCATTAAAAAAAAAACTGTTTCACTTTTATCCACACATATTCTGTGTTTATCAGTCCCACATCGGCTAGTAATATTTTTGTCAACCAAACCGCGTTTTGTTAGATTTTTTATTCAATAATTTATTGGAAATCGAAAAAAATATTTTTAAGTACCGCAAGACGAACATTGTGTAAAATATGGAGTATTTTTACTAACAAAAAGTGTTTTTCGAAAAAAAGATTATAGTTTCTTCGCTATACATTACAAAAATTTGGTACATACTTTTAGTTTTAAAAATAATCTCAAATTTCGGGGGGGGAGGCACCACTGCTAACCACTGCTGGATATAAATAAGTGCTAAACATACTCATTATATGAATATATATAAGAGTATTATATATTAATGAGAAGCAAATTGTGGTATTTTTTTAAGCCTAATGAAAATAATAAGTCATTACAACCCTATTTTATTAGTTCACATAAAACACATTATAGATAGTAATAAGCCAACCATTAGTTATTTTTCTCGTAAAATTAAAAAGTGAATAATGTATGATGGGTCAACAAGTAATACGAACTTTACTTAAATAAATCAAAAAATCAGAATACTTCTCAATTCTTTTTTATTGTTATCCCAATAAATTTCACCGAGAACAATAGTCACAATCAGGTATATCGACATTTCTAATGGAGAAATTATTGTCAAAGAATCATTTTTTGATTTTATATATACTAACAAAAAATCAGGATTAGGGCTTTCTTATGAAATATTAAATACATTTTAAGAAATAATGGACTTGATATAATGAATTTTAGAGGAAAATGCTATGTCAATGACGCAAATATGGCCGGAAATAATAATGGTGTACAATTACATATTTTACGTGTAAATGAACTAGGAACATTTTTAACAAGTTCAGCTCTTAGCCTAAATCTAGTAGGTGTTCATGCTGTAGAAGTTTCACCTATAATGATAACATTTTTTGGCTTAATTCAAAATATATACTAAATTTTTTCTGGGTCGACAACTAGATGGGAACTCTTAATGAAAACTATGAAAATTACTTTAAAATCTCATTGTGATACACGTTGGAGTACAAGAAAACAAGCAGTGAATGCTCTAAAATTAAATTTTAAACACGTTTTTGATATACTAAATCTTATGGCGACCAACACTAAAAATTTTAATAAAAACGCAACAATATCTACTCAACATATTCTAAAACAAATAAATTTTAAGTTTTTATGCCTACTTCATTTTTGGGATTCTATATTAGGGCAGATTAACAAAGTAAATTTATCTTTACAAAATCAAACCATGGATGTGGCTACGAAAAGCTTAGAAGGTTCAATCGAATGCATTTAAATCTACGAGAAAATGGTTTTGAAAATGCATTGAATGAAGCTAAAAAAATGCACTTTTAATAAATATAACCACTGATTTTCTAACTACCAGAAAAACGCAAAAAAAATGACTTAGAGTTAGATGAAACAAAAACTAATGAAACTAGTGAAACTATTGTGAAGCTACAATGATATCAATTTTTAGATTATAATATTACCATTATAAAATGGAGATTTGAAAAACTGTCTAATATATCTTCATATTTCTCATTTTTGTGTGGTCGAAATTTTTCCAATATAGAAATTTATAATATGAATAAATGGTCAGAGGATTTAGCGTTGTTATACAGTGCTGATTTAAATGGTGATAAGTTATTAATTGAAGTTCAAAGTTTCCAGTTTCAAGATGTCTACCGGAATTTTGAAGTGGAATTAAGAATTTTTTTAACAATGCCCGTTATTACAGCTACTTGCGAGAGAAGTTTTACCAAATTAAAGGTCATAAAAAATTATCTCCATTCCACCATGGGTCAAAAACGTCTATAAAATTTAGCCATACCTTCAATTGAATAAGAAATTACATCTAAGATGGACTACACTTCAATTATCGAAAAATTTGCTTCCAAAAAAGCCAGAGAATTTAATATTTTTTAATTTTGTTGTACTAAATTATACTTAATTTGCAGACAGTATTATTTATTTGTATTATTTTATTTACATTTTTTATATAATTTGTATTTATGTTGTACTATCTTTTAGAATTTGTCATTAAAGTCATACCAAAGTAGGTGATACAAATCAATTAATTTCGCTATTATTATCTTTATTTTGAATTTGAAACATTCTTAAACTTTTGTTATTCCAACTATTAAAATAATAAACTTAAGCTTTAAAGTAAACATTGATCATGATTATAAATAAATAAACAAAAAAACATTTTTTGTGTTTATGGGGAGGGGCGCAAATTTTTGTTTTGCCAGAAGCGCCAATATTGATCAGCCCGGCTCTGCTTACGAATAACAAAATTTATAAAATAAAGTTGTTCTTACTTCTTACAAATTATTGTGATAAGCTATTGACTAACACGTGCGTATGTTTATGTTCTCAGGTTAACGGATTACGGTTCGGCCGATTACAACGGCGTCATGTATATATATTCGGCGGGACTCGGCGGCGACGGTGCCCAAATCGTTGATGGTGGTGGCGCTTTTCATTACACTCAACAACAGCTGCACCAACAGTCGCAGCAACAGCAACCGCATTGCCAGCAACACCAACAACAACAACAACATCAACGACTTCACCAGCATCACCTCCAACAACCACAGCAACAACAGATATCACCGCCGGCCAGTCCGCTGGACGAAAGAGACGGCGGTGGCGGCGTCAACGCCATCCCTGCAGAATCAACGTTGTTGGCACACAAGCTGCTGTCCAACAAACTGCAAGCGACGGTTGCAGCCACTGCGTTCACGGCTACCATGATGACGCCACCATCATCACCACCCGAAGATGGAGTCAAGAAGTCGGTGGGTGCCACCGCCGCCGCATCTGCCCCGCTAACCAATCGACCGCCGGTGAAACGTGGAGGGACCGGCGATCGACGAGTCCAGCGTGCGAAAAAGACATCGGCCAACCACTCGTGTGGGCACCCAGGATGTGGCAAGACTTACACAAAGAGTTCGCACCTTAAGGCGCATCTGAGGACGCACACGGGTGAGAAACCGTACCAATGCTACTGGAACGGGTGTGGTTGGAAGTTCGCAAGGTCCGACGAGCTGACCCGGCACTTCCGCAAGCACACCGGTGACAGACCGTTCAAGTGCAGGTTGTGCGACCGCGCCTTTTCCCGGTCCGATCACCTGTCGCTGCACATGAAGCGACACAACGTCTGAGCCCTCCACCGCCCGACGCGACGACACCACGCACTAGACCACGCACCGCCACCATTACCACATTCGCCGTTACCGTTTATACCTGTAGTCGGGTATTGCCGTTTTTAGTACATATATAGTTAATTTTTAGTGACATATCTAATTGTATCGTTATTGTTTAGGTTAGATTAGATTAAGTGTACGAGCGATGGCGGTCGTTAGGTCACTTAACTGATGAACTATCGCAAGAGACCGTAAAGTAGACGAGAATGTGAACGAGAAACTGTTCAGATACGCGACATTAAAAAATGTGTTTTCTTCACTCATACCCGAGAATCTTTAAAATTATATGCATATGTAGTATATTTAGTAATTAACAACGAAATTAACTTCCATTTCTCTTCATTTTGAGCTACTACATTCAATTGTTTGTGTTTTTTTTTTTTTTAATTTTTAGGCGCCATCGTTCCTGGACTATTTTTTTACTATTGGTCTTTAATTCGTAGTTTCCATACCTTTCTCGTTCGCATTTCGATCTAGGCCTAAGTATTCCTATGACCTGCTGTCGTAATAATCTCTCTATTATAATATTATCCCGTAAAATACTTACATCCCATGACAAAATAATGATAACCATAATATAATCACTAGCATAGCGTAGCATATTATTATAACATAGACGGAACATTCACCCCTGAGGACTGGGTGGCGTGGGCGGTCCGAACCAAAGAGAGACGGACTGATGTAAAGCCTACTGTGAGAGAGAGCAAATTTGCACTCCGAGGATAGCCAATTAAAACACTTCGTTTATTATTCCACATGTTTCTGTCTTCGAAATGAAACACCGTCCACTGGAACGCATTTCAAATGTCATGTTGAATGTTCCGACTACATGAATATGATTATAACTAGGGCAGACAGAAATATGCATTTGCATACTTTTACTGGTCAGTCAAAAAAATAGCAAATTATACTAAAATGTGTTATTTCACCTGACGAGTCTGAATACAAAAGTTTATTTTACATATTTTGGCATTTTAGAATTTTGTGTGATTTTAGAGCATATTTCAAGGATTTGGACATTTTATGTTAATATTTAGGAAATCCGTAAATTATTAAGACATTTTCAACTCGGTGAATCAAAAATCACAAAATAATTTTAAAATACCAAAGTTCGGAAAGCAAACTAATAAATTGATAATATACTATTGATAAGTATTTATCCGCGTTTTATAGAAAATATTATTTATCCATAGGTTTCATTCAAATCAGTTGAACTGAAAAATGATCAGTTGAACAAGTTGTTCAATTTATTAATCAATCGACAAGGTCAAATTATCGTATAAAAATATCATATAATCTTAATGTCTTTATATTCGGAGTTTTATCGTACCTATATATGACTATTTTAATTGAGTAATCACTTTAGTCTTGATTTGTACTTTATACTCGTGTGGTTAAAATCAATCAATTATAATGTCTAACTAACATTTTTGGATTTTTTTCTTTTTTAAATACCGAAAAAGAAACTCAAATACCGCACCAATTATTTTTGTTGTAAATAACATCATACTATATAAATTATAAAATATGCCCTTTCATTACAACACATTTATCTATTATTGTATTATAATTAAAATAAATTAAAATGTTTAATTGTTTTAAGAGCATATTTTGGTAATTTTGAGTCATAACTGCATACGTACATATTTACAAGGTTTTTATGGCATATTTTTTGTCTGCCTTAATTATATCGTATTTGACTCGCACGCTAGCACGTTTATTTTTTTTTATGAATATAGGAGCGTATTGAATCATTAGATGATATTAAAATATTAACATAATTTATGTTTATCACGATCATTATTTTTTTTTTTTAATCCTTGGTCAAAATAAACAAGTATGCTTAGCGGAATAATCATATAAACTCCGCTTTTTTCCGCTTATTATCGCCCGATGTTCACTTTAGCATTGTCTCTCGACAGTATTTTTGTGCCATGTATAAATACTAATATACCCATGACTTGTCAAGTTTATTCTTAAAAAAATAAAAAAATAAAAAAAACAATAATATCATTAACTATCAATATCTCGGATAATTACGAAAAATAAGGCTAAAAAGAGTATTGAACATTTTTCAATGGAGCCCGGTTCCCGAATACCCGAATTAAAATGGTCAATTTGATATAGGAAAAAAAAAACATTTTTAACATGTGTCGTTTAGCTCTGTTATAAGGTAAAAATTTCTATTACATTTTTTTTTTTTTAAACGTCAGTCGGTGTGCACAGTGAGCATTGTCTTAGCGATAGTTTTGTTGAATTTGCTGTGAACAATTTCCCGTCTAACGTATACGGTTGATGATACACGTAGAATACCCTAAAATACAAGATAGTAATTATGCCGATTGGCAGTATTACAATACGACCGGTAAGGAGAAAAGCGACAGCCGATTTTTGGTGCAACAAAAATGCCAGCGTATATCTTTCTTTTTTTTTTTTTTTGGATTTTGGTTTTACTATGATTTTTGTAACCACCCTATAATATACTATACCTTCCCAACATCCAAAATATAGCGACAACAGATAGATGATAACAATCAACAATAGCGTATTACTGGGAGCCGCATTATTTGTTAGGTATCCTTAGATATAAAATAGTAGGTAGTTAAATTGTATATAATATACAAAATCCAAAATTATAAGAGCAAAATATAGAACATGTGAATATATTATTATTATATACCTAGTAAATGATAGAAAATCTAAATAATATGTAATGTCAAAGTAAAGATTAATTATACATATATCGATGGCTTAATTCATAAATGTGTGGCATATACATTGTATGTACGAAATAACGATTTTATAATAGAGCGGATGGAAATTTTTTTCAGACGCATATGTTTTACCGGAAAGATTAAGAAATAATTAATTTAATTGATACATAAGAAAATCAAACAGTTATAAGATATTTACAAGTTAAACTCTGGCTTTCTATTAAATCTAGAGTAGACTTGACACTTTCTAAAAGTTAATTCAATATTTATTTACCCAATTTTGAAACAATGTTGTAAGTAAAAATTAATTATGTGCAGAGATCATTTAAAATTTGTTACGAAACACAAATTCATAACTATAAAATACTTAAATCAAAAAACAAAGACAATTGAATGTAATATGTTTTTATCGAGCCTTAACCATTACTTTCGGTTAAATATTTTGAAAAAGTAGATATATTACGTCTAATTTGCTTAAAATGTTTGAAAATCAACTAGCATGCATACCCGATATATATAATTTAACACCAATGAATCTTATTCCATAACGACTTTATGGGATTTTTAGCATATCATCTCTTTTTAGGACCTTTTTTGTTTTAATTCCATTGGTTTTAGTTTAGTAAAATAACACAAAAGTCTCGGATATAAAAAATACCCATCTAAACAAATGACTAAATATGTACAAAATTTAACGCAATAACGCCGGAAAAACAGGATCGATTTAAAATATTTTGCCGCTCTAGACAAATATATTTTTAGCCATCTTTTCAAGTTTTCATAATTCTACTACGACAATAGTATAGACACAATAAACACAATTTTTCATGCCTAATATCTAAACCGCAAAAGCTCGCCAACCTAAGCAGTAACCTATTTCGCCACTCTGTTTGGTTAATCTGGACTCAAAGTGCACTATCCTAACGTATCATTTTGCCATCCAGGTAAATGTTATAAAAACTACGTTTATCGGCAATAATATTTCGAAACGCCTATAATTCATATAATACATAAAATATAATGCACTAAAAATAAATAAAACACGACCTAATAACAGAAAAAGTGCGAGAAATTTAAATTCCAAATTTAACTTTTGAAACTCTATTTACCGATCTGTTTTATCGCGCAGCGTTTCATATTACAAGGTGTCCGGAGTTCTCGGGTACCTAGCGCGATTCCACAATGGTAAATATATTCGGACACTTCGGTGCCGTATCTATCTGGAGTATCGAAAAATTAAAATTAAAACCATCAAAATCCGGATCCTAGTTATTATAGGTGAATTCAAGAGCTTGTACATAAGCCCCCTCCCCCAACACTGTTAATTTTTAAGTTCAAATAAATACCTACGAAACTTCCACCGGTGTTCACTAGATTATTAATTTCCGTGCGAAAATTTGACGAACTACTTATATCTTACTTGATAGTCGATAAGAATTTAAATTTCCTTACTACCTAAGTATAAGTCTAGTCGTATTCTTAATTGTGTTTATCTCCGAATACTCTCTATTACAGTAATATTATATCACGTAAATATTTACAATATTTGGGATAATCTAGTTTCGAATTATAAAAAAATCGTTCTCAAATTTCCTGACCTTTGCGATTCAGTGGTTTTTTTTCGGAGAGGTGTGCGATTTTTATTAAATATTATTAAAAATACCGCTAAACAAACCAACAACGCACGATTTTCTATATGAAAAAAAATAAAAATAGAAAATTGCCCGTTTCGCGCGATCCGAGCCGTGTCTTAAAGGTCGAAAATTCAGAGTATTTTGCAAAATCATAACCGATTTTACATTTAAACGTTTTATTGTAATAGATATGAAAAAAACCGAAATCCGTTGATAAACGTATTACAGTTTAAGATACCAAATTACAATAAAATATTGAGTTATATTATTAACCTTGCCGGTATTCCTACTGGTTTTTTTTTCTGTTTTGAAACGAGATCACTTAATAAATGTCATCCATCTACCTAATACAACTACTTATAAATTATAATAATAAATCGTCCGCGTTTTATAATACTAATGATATTCATATGGCCGGTTAAATCCACAGAGATAATATTTATATGTAGGGCGCACAAAACGTTCGCTATATTATAATGTTATGCGCGTTTCCAACATTCTGGAATTTTAGACGAGCGAAAGTAGAGAAACGATACAGTTTCTCGTATAATATATATGCGATTAAATCGCAATGTATAAATGTACTTCTATACTCAGGTAATAAGTATGTATACTTATACTACACTTATACTAACCATATGAAAAAAACGGTTTTATCTGTTTCCACTTGATATATTCCGGTGTACAATATATTACACCTGCAGCGGCCGTCGACATATTTTTAAAGTACTTCTCAAAATAATAATATATCCGTTTATATCCAATAATATGATTAGCGGTTAGGATTTTATAACGCGGTACACTCATGATTTTTTTTATTATTATTATTAAGAGTCAGATTTCAAATATCGCGTGTCGTTGCCAACATATTATCGTTAATGGTTATCATTATCGTTTTGTTTAATAAAATTTAATAAACGCGATTATAATCCCCGGCACACGAAAATCCGTGTCGCGACCACGCAGTGGCGTGGTCCGGATTTGTTAGTAGTGGTGGAGCGGTTGGGAATGGGGAGGGAGATTTGGTTAAACGTAGCAAATAAAATTTACATATAATAACGTACCCCGCTAGGCACTGCCCGTGTCAAAAGAAATATTAATAAAAATATTATCATTATCCTATTACGGCTCTTAATCGGGGGCTACTCGCGTAGATTTTACCCCGTTCATTTTTTGGTTTTAATTTCATTCGGATAGCCGAGGTTATCCATAAATCAACAAAATCATTATTTTCGTTCCCGAAATACCGATGACTCTGAACCACCATTCTCCTTTGGGATAAAATACGGGGGAGAGGAAGTAACATATATGTTATCCCTGGTCAAGAACTACATATATACGCGGTTTCAGTTCTATCCGTTCAGTAGAGTTTGGGCGAATAGTGGTAATAAATATACATGTACTTACACCCATAATCCATATACATTGTTTATATTTTTAAAAAGCCTTTTTGTGCATTTTTCTCAGTGCTATAGTAGTTATTATACCGTTTAGTATTTTACAATAGTGCAATGTAATTAATTTAATTAAATTAAAACGCTGACAAGTTTTTGATCATTTTTGGTTTTATTTAACACTGCCAATGAAGTATGGGAGCTAAACACCTCATAGTCACGCCCACAGACGTATTTACGGAAAATAATTCCCCCTCCCCCCCCCTCGAGACCGGTACATTTTGAAACACATTTGTACTCCTAACACTAATTTCGGTCAAATTTGTCCAATCACTTCTCAATTCCGGTTGATCAAACTATTAATTACGGATTGTGAACCAGTGGTTGCATCAATACCTATACGCGACTGTGCGCTCCCACCTCACGCGGTGAAGTGTTAAAAGGCGATAGGTATAGGTATCTTGTTTAATAAATTCAATTACGTGTGTATAGAAATTAAAACAAAATGGACTTACAAGTCATACCTATATTGCACAGCGAACATTCTCATATTTTAGTTATTTTAATAGTATAATAACCGACAGTAATCAAAATTCTACAAAAACTACGATGTACGCGCCATGTATATTAATTACATACAAGATGTCCTACAGTGTTATCCTTATGCTAACGATTTGATCAATATTCATTTTTTTTTTTTTCAATCGAATATTGCGTGAGGGGGACACATATGTAGAGAAAAATTAAATGTTTATTTTCATCTCTTAATTGAAAGAAAATCTTTTTATTTTATCACTTTTTAATAACACGTTATGCAATAAAGAATCAAAATCAAAACGTTAATTCCTTATCTTTAATTGAATATTAATTATTTTCACGTTTATTTTCAATAAATTAAAATTTTTAGAAAAATATATTTTACAAAATGCCTATTTTGAAAATTTTAAAAATTAGTTTGAAAAATCAAATCTTTTTCGGTGATTAAGGAATGAAAATAAAAAGAATATTTTACAGAGTTATAAAAATAAAAATAACACTGTAGGACACTCTGTATATATATATATTAATATATAATAAAATAAATATAATTGCATTTATGGTATAACGATTATATGGTGTGTATTATCATTATTATTATTATTATTATATTATTATTATTATTATTATTATTATTATTATTGTTTAGTTTGTTTGGCTCGTATTTAGCCGATACATTTTTTTGACTATATATTATATGATATGTTATTATTAAAAGAAATATAATAATAAAATAGTTTTTTTTTTATTGCCATTAATCTGATGAAACATATGAAAATGTATTTTCTTTACCTATATTATTTTTATTTGATTTGTTATATTTTTGTTTTATGCATATATTATGTGTAGTGTAGTTTTAGATGTATTTAAAATAATAATAATAAAAAAAAAAAAAAAACATTTTACTTATCATATTGTTTCTAATATACTTATTTAACAACGTGTCAATGTGATTAGCATCAATTTTATTTAATAAGCGTTTTGAACATAGTGGTTAAGTAAAATTTCATAAAAAAAAAAAAATCAAAAAACCTTTCGTTTTGAAATGTTATTATTATTATTATTATTATTATTATTAGTTTTTCTTAACGAGAAAAAAAAATTGTACTACTAACAGTTGTAAAAATCAAGAAAATCAAAAAAAAAAAAAGAATATAAATAAAAATACAATTATTACTGTCAACTTATTACAAGCAAATTATATTATATTAAACAAACATTATAATAATATGGATAATTTTTTGTCATTTTATAATCATTATTATTACCTATAAAGTAATATAGAGTAATTATCTCTTTACAATGATATTATTAGTGTAGATAATATAATATATATGTTTTTATTTTTAGATTCTGAGTGAATTGAAGGATGTGTTGATTATACAAAGATGTTTATTTTTTTATGCGGACACTTTTTCTACCAGAAATCTTACTGCGATCTATACGATCGTTTTCTAAGCGGAAATTTTCTAAGGAGGTCATTTTTCGATTTTTCCAGGAGTTTTTCCAGCAAATGTGAAAAACCCGGAAAAACACGTGAATACCCAGGAAACGTAGAAAAAACAGAAAAATCAATACAATATTAAACAAATATTATCATAGAAAATAATAATGAAGAAAATATAACATATATTTATTGACAAAGTACCAATATCAATTGAACTCCGCTCAGAATCATTTTTAGTAAGCAACGGTTTATTGCTTACAGATACAAATTAATTTTCCCTCTATATCTTACCTTCCTCAACTTCTCACCAACAACAATAGTTGTACCTGTCCCCATTATCCTAGGACGGCTTTCTTTTTTTTATTATTATTTAACAAGTAGCCTAGGATATGATTATTATAATTAAAGATCGAATAGAATAACAAAAATGTAAAATACACCGATAAAAATATTATTATTCAACATTCAACATTCAACATATTAAAATATTAGATATCTAATATAAGATAATGATTATTATTATTATTATTGTTAATTACGTTTATTAAATTTTTACCGTTATGGACAAATAATTATCGTTAATCTTTGTTATCATATTATATGGAAATAAGTACCTACAACATGGTATACTTACTGGTAACTCGATCCTCCCCGCGTCTCGTCCGGTTTAGTTAATAATAATAAAAATGCGAGTGGTTATAGTATACAATTATAATGTATACCTATATAATAGTATCCGCGTCGTGTGACACCCTGTATAATATATTATGTTTAGAGGGGAAGTCGGATGGACAGGCGTATTGTGGTCATTAAGTCGGAGTACTCTCCGGAGTGTTTCGGCTAGCATTGGGGTCAGGCACGAAAAAAAAAAAAATATATTATATTATTTAGGTAATAATATAGATAGTAGACGAGCCCGTTAATTAATAACGTTAATAACAATAATAATATTTTACCGGGAGGGAGGTGAAGGAGGCGGTGTAGAACGACAGTGAAATATTATTCCACATGCGTCTCGCGCGCCGGCCCGCACACACACACATACGCACACGTACACGCACATTTTGTTGCGAAATTATTACACCACCGTAATGGCCGCCGTCAGGTTTCTAATTACTTAGCGGCCGTTTTCCCCTTTTCGCTACCGACCGCTGCAAACGTGAAATAAAATCCATTTAATCATAATATCATAATAATGTATTGGTAGTACACGATAATATTATTGTATTATCATTATAGAATGGAGGGCGGCTGATAAAAAAAAAAATCTTATGTCGATACATCTAGTACTCAGTGGTTCACATGTTTGTTTGTTTTTCCCTTCCTCCCAGATTCTTGGTTTTACGCTTTATTGTTACAATACCCCTTAAAAAACGGTAGGTATAGGGGAGGGAAGGGGCTCAATGTCACATACACGATATTACAATATTACCGAACATAGAATTCAAAATGTACGTGCTCGTTTTAGTGATAATGTGATATCAGCGATAATATTATCATACCATTGTGTGTAAAGTAGAAAACCATACCCTTCAAAGCATCAAAATGCGATGCAAATCAAGGTTAAAAACAGGCCCCGTTGTGTTTATGATAATTATTATAACTTAAATTTTATAATTTTTTATATTAGTATATAATACATAAATTACTTAATTTAGGAGGTATAAGCAAGTCAACTAAAAGGGTGTTCGGTTTAATAGTTCCTTTTCGATCTGTTGAAACTCCCATTTCTGTCATACGGAAATACATCGATCATGAGTAGTTTATTTGTAGTAATATTTGTGGAGGCATATAACCATTTACCAGTGTAGAAATATATTCGAGTATACTATACATTTTTGAATAAATATATTTAATGTGAAATTAATATTTAAATTAGGTACTAAAATTCACAAATCTATATTACTAATTTTGTTGATTATCGAAATTAAATCATAAACAATTTTAGTAGACATGGCACTGTTAACTCAGTTAATATCATAGAACCATCCAAAAATTTGCTACCATATTGGGTTGGAACAGGCCGATTCACCCAGGAATGTCTGGACAGCCAGTGGGGTGGAGTGTGATCTCCCAGACAAAAGCCAATCTAATATCACACTCAGCATAATGAGAACTAAACCACACATTAACGAGTTGCAATCAAAAAAGGGTAGCAGATTTGACATTGATGAGTAAATGTACCGCACCATCATCAATCGGCTAAACAGTAATTACTAACGATTTTCTAAATTTATGAAAAACATTTCAAGTGCGTACCCCGGTATTGGTTACATACTAATATCAAGGAACGTTGACGAATATTAGTGCCTCGAATGTTAACAGTAACAAAAAATATTTTACAAGATTTTAATATGCTATTATTCGTGCCTGTTGTTGATTTTAATACCAATTAATTTAAAATTTTGTTCTCACAGATCAATTGCCAATACCAGTCTGTTCAACAATTTTTAAACTGTCCTTTTCAGGACAAATCATTTATAGTTCTAAAATAGGCTCTAAGAAAAATATGAATAAACATGGCGTGAAATACCCCGACAATCGTGTTCCTGGTTGCATCAGGTCTAAGAGATTTGTTTACCTATCACTAAGTCGCACACATTTCGCAAAATATTTTCCTCTAGTTAGGATGATGCCGATTATCAATAATAATCTATAGTATTTTCGTATTTTTGGTCAACTTCTACATCTCATTATACTTGTTATTCACGTTTATTTATCGTTCTACTCTTTGTTAAATTAATTAAACGTTAAAAGTTTACAAGTGTTTAAATTTTAATTGAATTAAAATTTTGTTTCCGTTAGCTAATTTGTATAAATTGTAAATATTGTAATGTTATTTTATTTTGTATTGCTAATATTTTTCTCAAAAGCCGCTGGCGTTCATTCTCATAAAATAAAATAAAATAAAAATAAACAAATTGAGTAAATTTGATACTCAAATCTGTTTAATTTTGAACAGGATTGGCGTTAAATCAATCATTACCCCACGAACTGCAATTAAAAATGATTAGATAAAATTAATTATAAAATCTGAATGAATTTTAAAAATAATAAATCGAATTATTCATCATTAACAACCTAACACAAGGTAAATTAAACTCCAGAGTTAATAATTTAATGCACACTAATTACAAATGTTATCACGTCTTACAATCCATGTATTATTTTGATCAACGACTGCAGTCAACTTCAGGTTGGAAAATCGGATATATTTTTTCAACCATAAAGGGAAGAAAATGCAGGAACATCTTTATAATGAGTTTTATTAAAATTGTGATTTTTATTACGAGAGCCTACAAGTCTTACAACATCCGAGATTTATTATTAAATTTAAACAAACAATAATAATAATAACTGTACTAACATTTAAAATAATGAAGATTATGGGCATTATTGGAATGTGAAGGAACGAATAAAAATCGAAACTCAGATGGTACCTTTAAAACATACATTTATTTTAGGTAAGTGTTCAAAAATTGTTTGATTCGAAATCAAAATAAATTTCGATAACTATAATTATAAGTTATAACCTACCTTTCACTAGTAGAGACCTGGGCAAATTAACAATAGAGTTTAAAATCTAGTGTTAAAATTATATAAACTAATATCATTGTATCATCAATTTCTCTTCATCACTATACGGTTTTTATTTGTCTTTTAACCAGCAAAATGTTTTAATTATTTATATTTTTTGTTTCAAATAAAAAAGGGTTTCATGCAAGAACGAGATAACTACATTTTTTTCAAAAATGGGGTTTGGTAGTTTAAAATTAAGAAAAAATGTACGAGTATATCTGTGTAAGAACGAGGCAAATGCGGTAAAAAGTAAAATGCAGACCATCTACAAGTCAAATATTACTGATTAAGAGCAGAAAGAAAGATTTTATAAACACTGCTCAATGTTTATTTTACTTAACAACTAATATTACAGATGAAGTATACAAATTTCTGCTTATTGAGTAGGGATATGAAACCCGCCACCAATAGACGATTATAAAACATTGAAGAAGTAAAAAATCATGAATATACAATAACAAAATATGTATTATAATCAAAATAACGTACAACCGAATATTATTGAAGTGGTTAATAGGTACACAAAAATAAAATTATAATACTAATTACTATATGGTCTTTTTTTCGAATTATTTTATTCCCAACACAATATATATATATTGTATATTATAGCTTAATAACTCGCAACATAAAACGAAAAATAAATAAATTACAAATTATTTTTACGTCCGTTTATTTTGGCAGTAATAAACGTAATTGCATTTATTCGCTTTTTTTGATTTCAAAGATAACGATTTGGTCATTTCTGTTGGATTTGCGTTAAGCGTAGGATCCGCATTTTCCGAAATGGGCAATATCGTCTTATGTACACTGTAATTGCTGTCCTCTCTTTTGAGAAGGTGATACCTAATGCCTGGATTTTTATTGCATTTCGAACAGACTCCGTTTCTAGTTTCAGAAGCCTTTGATATCTGTGGCAGAAATAAATTATTCATGTAAAATACAGAGAGTTCTTATTTTAGGTTTTCAAAAAAAAAAAGATAAAAATATCAAATTTTTTACGAAGAAAATATATTTTAAAAATTCGCATAGGTGCCACACAGGTAACGTTAAAAAATATGGTTACTATAAACAATTGGCTTTAATTTTGAAAATGCATCTTGGACTATTAATAATGAACATCATTAGCTCACTCTACGAAAAAATTAACTATTTAGAAAAACGTATTGTTGATACAGGAAAAAAAAATTGGTATAAGCACAAAATCTAGAAAATATTATCTAATCGGTACTATAGTAAAATAATGTTGCAAAATATCATACGTACATTTTTCGCGAATTTTTGATAGCAGACTTTTTCGTACCCATGTCTTGATTTGCCCGATTCGGTACACATTGATTTTGTAGCTCCCGCGTGATCACCACGGTACCCCATGATTCTACTCATACAAGTTTTTATTTCGCTCAACACTGTATCTATTGCAAGCCAAACAAACAGTACTATTTTCAACAAATTTTCAAAAAAGCGATTATTGAAATGCAATTATTAAAATAATAAATGAATTACGTTTGATTGCATCATTGGTCGAAATTAGTAAAGATACAGAGTTCTTGTCGACTTCTTTTTCTTTCGATTCTGTGGTTGGTGTTTTGATTTTAGAATTTTGATTCGAGTAATTTGTCTCTATCACCATTTCCTGGTCGAGTTTGTCATGATTGATACTACTTTTGTTTAATAAATCGCGGGATGTTATAATCGCACTGGTATTTTGTTGATCTTTGTTATACGAAATATTAATTTCTTCTATATTTGAAGATATTACCTCATTTCCTTTTTCATATTCTGTCCTACCGTTCGTTTCTGTACTTGGAGTGTTGCTATGATTAGAGATTATTGATTTTCTACTTGAAAAATCGGACTTAGCCGTCACTCCTTCGTCAGATTCTTTATTTGCATCACTTACATTACTTACATTACTTACATTCGCTGTTTCATTATTAGATTTATCGGTGAGATTATCTTGTAATGTGTCACGCGATGTTGTAATAATATCGGTATTTCGACGTTGATCAGTTATTTGTTCTTCTATTTTTTCTTCTTTCGGCAATATAGTCTCGTTTTGTGTGTCATTTACTGCCCTACTGTTTATTTCTGCAATTATTGAATTATGTTTGGATAAATCTGCCACCGCTGTTATTTCCTGTTTGTACTGGGTATTTGTACTGTTTACATTCGTAGATAATAAGTCATTATCATTTTTATGCAACGTTTTTATCTTTTTTTTGATTTTTTGACCTTCATTTCTCGTTGATTTTCCATCGTTTTTCTCAATTTGATTCTTCTTTTTAACATTTTTCGGTTTGCCATTCACTCCCATATTTTTTAAACCTACTAAACGGTCAATCGAGTTATTAGATTTGTTTTCATTATCTTTGGATTTTTTGATTGTTTTTCTTTTTTTCGCATTTTTCATTTCATCATTTAAAGATCCATTAAGTTTTGACTTACTTTCTCCGATTTTTTGCTTTATTTCACTCGTATCAATCTGTAAATCATTATTAGCGTATTGACAACTATCAGTTAAAGGCTTATTGAACCACGGAGACAGCATATTAGCAATGAATATTTGAACCTCTTGTAAAAAATCGTCCGTAGAATTTGGTAACAAATGTGCCTGAGTTATATTATTAATTTTCTTTAAAATCAAACGTGTCAGTTTTCTATTCTTCGATAACTGATTGCTGCATTGGACTTGAACGATGTAATTGAATATCAATGACGATAATGTTTTTAAAAAATCTTGTTTCCATTTACTTGAACTACAGTCAGGATTTAAATTTCGTAAAAATTTACATAACTCTATTTGCGTGTTTGGATAATTGGACCATTCCCTGCAAGTTATTAAATGTAAAACGAAGTCAACTGCAATGAAATGTATTATTTATTTATATTTACTGGTCAGAAAAATTTATTTTTGAATTTAATATCTTCTCCAATATTGTCTTCATAGCTGTTGTCAAACTGTCTCCTGAATTTTGTAGGAATTGTTGTACAAAACTATAAACAAATGTTTCAATATCGGATTATCGTGTACCCAGATAACTTGTATACCCTTATCTATTATAATGGATAAGTATGATTCAGATAGGCAGTTTAGATCAAGTTAGATAGGTAAATAGGTAGATAGGTACTCACTGTTGCCACATCGTATGAGTGCTATTTTTAGGACGAAGGCGGTCATTTTGTGGCATTTTCTTGCATCTTTTCATAATGGACTTCAAATTTCGTCTCCCTTTCCACGTGTACCCTTTGGGCGTGGAAAGCATTTCCGTGTATTCGGAGCGTGTTAGACAATTCCGGTTAACAGCCAAAGGCCGTAACTTCGGTTTCATTGTTTGATTTGTTTCACACATGTTTCCACTACCTGGGGATTTTTCCAGGTGACGGATGTATGGGTAGAAAAAATATTTCCTGTGCTACTTTAAAACATTTTTTTTTTTTTATTACAGCTGAAGTTTTAATATTTATTACAATCATCATTGTTTGCATATTACTATAGTAACGATTTGTTGATAATACAATTTCACATCCACTTAGAATCTTAAATAATAATAAAATAATTTAGATTTGTACCAAATTTGAAATTGGAAGGCCTTAAAAGTATATAACCAGTATAAAATAAAAATAATAAAATTGACATAGCATGTATTTGCGGCACATTATCACATTGGATACGCATATTAGCAAATATCTCGTTAAATTATTTTAATGAAATTTTTGTGTTCGATTCTTTATCGTTAACGGAAAGGAATAGAATACCTTGTATATATTGAAGAGGAGTCTTAAAAAAGAACATTTAAGTGGAAAGGGAGAACACGTTTTTATATAATGGGGAATAAATAAAACACATTGTGAAATAGTAATAGTATAGAGTTAGCATTAAGAAATAATAATAAGAAAGTATCTAGGTAGCAATTAAGAAATAGGTTAATATTTATAATGTAAATAGATACGGATATAAATGAGTAAAACAGAAAAAAAATACTTCGTTCGATAGGTGGGCCTCTGTTGTAAATGAGATGTTGAGAAGGTAGGATATAGATGGAAATTCAATTTATTTTTGTATGCAACGATTAATCATTGCTAATGAAAAACGATTCTGAGTGGATTTCGGTAAAACATAATTTAAAAAGCCGTAATATTGTAAATATAGTGTAATATTTACAATTGTCGTCAAAATTTGGTACATAAATTATTATAATTATAATTATTATTATTATTATGATTAATATTTGATATTTGATATACATTTTTTATGACAGTACAATTCTTATAAAAAAAAAGAAATTACATTAAACTCAACGTTTTCTTGTTGACCGCTAAATATAAACATTTCTGTTTGGTCCAACAATTTTATTCATTGTGTACCCCTATCAAATACAAATTACGTAAAAATCTCGCAACATTAAAATGTATATAAATAGATTGAAAGTGGCTTAAATGTTTTACAAATTTTACTGCATTTAGAAAGAGTAAATATTAGTATTTTTTCCAAATTCTGAGGCTCTACGAATATTTTTAACAGAATTGCATTAAATTTATATTTGATTTTAATACAGTAGTACAAAAAGTTACAAAATATAACTCAAAACAAAATGAATGGGGACATAGCAAACATTTTGGAATATTTTTAGAGATGTAAATTATTTTACTTTGTGATTGACTATAAAACTGTAGATTATATGAAGAAGAGAAGATTGGTTAGAACAAAGATTATGATAATATAGCCATTTATATTATTTTCAGTGGTACAAAAATTTTACTTTTTTGTACTTAACTATAATTATAATGTAACATTAGTTATAACAAAATTAATGAGTGAATAGGATTACATGTTATTTAAATATTTTCTGCGATACAAATTATTTTACTTAGTGTTATAAATTTATACAAGGTATATAAGTTTAAAAAATAAGAACAAATTAGCAACAACAAAGTAAATATAATGAAGAATATCTTTTTAACATTTTAAGTATTTCAAAAATGTTTAGTTTTTATATCACATTATCGAGGCAATTATATAATAGTTATAACCGAATAAAGGTGCCCATACACTGCCGCTGTGGTAGCGGTAGTGGTTTAATAGAACTCGTGTGTTATTATTGGAGTCCACACACTGCAGCGGTAAAACGGCCGCTGTAAAATATTGTGTCACGGTTTTTTTAAAAACCGCTGCAAGACCGAATTTTACCGCTACCGTTGGTGGTTTATCAGTTTTGTCATCATTTTATCATCTTCTATATATATAAAGTAAGACGTCCGATACACTCACTCACACTCATCAACTCCTAGCCCAAATTACTAGACGGATCGGGCTGAAATTTAGTATACTAAAAATTACTAATATAACTGTAATATAAAAATTGATAAATAACTGTTGTAGGTAACACAAAAATACTGAACACCGGCCAAGCCGGGTTTTTCAGCTATTATTTTATAATTGTATAGGTATAAGTATAGGTGAATAAATAATATATATTAAATTATAAATATAAAATAAACCGCTACCGCCACCGCAGCAATGTGAACACAGCGGCGATTTACTATATCACTGCAAGAGCACCTTTTATGAGTAAATAGGAATCCATTTTTCATATTTTATTCTTGCCTCCTAACTCTCCCTCTGTGTTCACTACAGCATGCCAGTATTACAATTTATAGAGTTATTATTCATAAAGTATATTTGCAAATACAGATCTTGAAAACAGAATCTCTATAAAAACCTATTCTAAAGGTAAACAAATAGAACAATTTTAATTGAATTCTTTTCTGTTACAAATGTATTGATTGTTTATTAATTTACAAGAATCATTTTTGTTTTTAATACATTTATATTTTGCAATGAAACTATTATAAAAGTTTTTGATTGTAAATTATGAACACATAATATACTTAATATGTATAATATTATAGACACATTTATATCGTATTAATATTTCGTTATAAGTTTTTGAATTTACCACTAAATTATAACTGTAAATAATAATTAGTGCAAATATATCTGCAAAAAAAAAATAACCATATGCTTTGAAAGAAGGAAAAACAATAGTTCAATCTTATTTATAAAACCTCAATTCACTATGGGTCACGGTAAAGAGTTAGTTAATCATACTCAAACTTTACCGTAACTAATAGTTACCTTATTTATTATTGTATTATACTTTAGCATTGATTATTTAAAAATTCAATAATTCTATAATATATTATTTTAGGATATAATAAGAATGGGGAGGTCATCGCAGAAAAATCTTAAAGTAATATAGAAAAGGTGCCCTGAATATTGAATAAGTATTTAATATGGTATAGCATGTTTTTTCGTTATTTACGTTTCGCTATATAACGGTCTGCATTTAAACTCTTTCTTCAAAGAATAATACTATTAAACGCATGGTAATGTTATCACTGTATTGTTATCAACAATAACGAAATAATATTTTTCAATTTTCATTACTAAGGAAATTTTATAATGGTCCATACACTTTTATTTATTTTAACACTACTTTATAGAGTTTTAAAGTGGTAAAACATTTGCTACACATGCATAACTTCTGAAATATACAATTTTAAAACAAAAAATAATAAATAAATAAAAGTGATAACATCAACTGGTATTAATTTTTATATTTTAAATACACGGTGTTGGTAGTATGGAATACATACTTGTACGTATCTAATATGGTATTATGGTATAGTATTCTTAGTAGTTTTTCTTATCTTATTTTAATTAATATTGAAAAATTATGAAATTAATTTCTAATACAATTGTTAAAAAATGTTAAATTAACAGTATTAAAAAAGTAACAGGGTTGAATTACGATTGGTTAGGATATGATTGCGTATAGACCTTTTTTACTATTACGATTGTATACGTTCTACCTGCAGACAATTAGTGCGATGTTTCTGTTGTTCATAATCGTATAAATTTATAATGAAATTTACTTTAGGAAATTATTTCTTATCTTTGATAAAATTTCATAAAATATGTTGTAACTATTTTCACATTAAATTCCCAGGGTAATATTTTTCGATAATTGCAAAATAACTAATAAGATTAAATACAGATTATTACATTGAATATCGCCATATTAGTAAAGCAAAAATTTGCATTTCACCGCCAACATTGTGTCTCGTTGTGACTCGTTTGCGCACATTTTGCGCACCTCTTTTACAACTCGTTTGCGCACACAAATTTTGGGTTTAAAAGAAAAGGCATAACTTGTTTGGGCCTTTGGGCCCATTTACCTTTTTTCGATTCGTTTCAGCACAACAGCACATTTCCCTTCTCACTTAAATATAAGCTTAGGACTTATCAGTTTTCCACATGCGTGATTAAAAATTTGTGTGTGTGTTCGAGTGTGATTTTTTTTTAAACTCTTCGTTAAAGTTGTAATTATTATAATTGTACTATTACTACTAAATACTAATTACTACTAAATAAATTAATAATTTATACTGATTTTGAATAATGGCATGTAAATCCGATTTTTTTTTATATATGTTAAACGATTAATAGTTTTTTTTTTGATATTATTTCCAAATATTTTCTGATTGTACCCTCTTTATTTATTGTTTATTTTCTTTTAAAGTTGACGACTTTCGGATTTATCTTTAAATCGGTTACACTTTAAATTCCAATAGTTATGTCGATTACTTGATGTTTTAATGTTTATAAAAACTTTCTGCACTATTAGAAGTCTGAAGATATATTAATTGGTTCACAAGCCCAAAATTTTGGAGGAAAATTGCTGTCCAAATCAATGTAGTTTTCTAAAATATAATCGGAAAATATATAAGTAGTACTAGGTGATATCGAAATAAGTTCACAAATCCATCTGAGACTTCTTCGGGAGGTAAAAAACTCAATCCATAAAATCACTTTATCCATTGGTCGATTTCGGAATTATTATTTTTGTTCTCGTACTCTGTCAATAATATTTTATCTTGCTGAATGTGTTTAAACCAATTTTGTTCTAAATGGAAGTTACAACATGCAATTTTGCAATTAGGCAAAATGTGCAATACTGCATTATGCGCTGCTTTTTCAAAGCCAAAATGAAAATTGCTTAAATTTATTTTATTACGAGTAATTTGTAAAGATATATTTTATAACTTTTGCCACATATTAATATAAGAATTAGCATGTTTATTACTTGAAAAAAAAACGCCACAGGAACATAAAAATTGTTTACATATAAGAGGATCGTATAAAGTTGAACGAAATAATTTGGCGAGTGCGAAAAAGTCCCGTCTCCATAAACACATTCTGCACTTTGTAGTAATTTTAAATTATTTTTACACGTAAATATGAATAGATATTCATCGTTACTAGCAAAACAAAACTTATTACCTTTGT